GCAATTGGAAGGTCGCCATTTAAGCATTTATTTATCCATCAACCTTAAATATGGTCGCAAAAAAAAAAAATGGCAGACACCAAAAAAAAGCATGGTAAAAAAAAATCACACAAAACAAAGGGCAATATATCAAGTGCAATAAACCATAAACCGATGGACTCCCAAATTGATTATAAATATAAAAGAAAACTGCAAAAAAATATACGCATATGGGGGATAACAATAAATAAATAAAGCATACATTAAAACAATAAAAAAAACTTCGGAAAGACGAATTTTACATACCCTTGCACTTTTTTAATTTAATTATAGGATCATAGGATCGTTCACAACTAAGCTTAAAATATTTGCTTTTCGTGAATCGATATTTATTGAGACTTTTGTTAGACAATTTTTTGGAAAGATTAAAGATTTCAAAAACTAAAACTAAAAATGGATTAATTTCAATTCGGAAAACTGTTCTATGTTAGTTTTGATTAGATTAACAAATCTGCATACTTAATTAAAATATTTCAAATTTTTAAAATTTTCCCAAATTTTAATTATGTAACCCGTTTCTTTTTTTTTTCAAAAAATTACATATTTAAAAAAAAAATTAATTTCCGAAGATGGCTAGATCGATTCTGCTGTTCATGCTGATTAAGAATATAGACGATTTATAGGATCGAAAATGCCTCCTTCACATTCTTTTAAGCTTCAGATTGAAGGTGCACCATGTTTTAATCGATATTAACTATATATTTATATGCAAATTTTATTGACTAATCAAAATTTAAAAATCGCATAACTAAGTCAAAAATTCATTAATTTCAATTCGGAAAGCGGCCGTATGTTTATTTTTTACAGGTTAATAAAACTGCATACTAGATTTAAAGTTCAAAAAAATTTGAAATTTTATCAATTTTTTCTGACAACTTTAACAATTTTACCCCTTTAAAAATTATGAAAAAATTAAAAAAAAAATTTTGTCGTTAAAAAATGGCTAGATCGATTCCGCTGTTGATGCTGATCAAGAATATATATGATTTATAGGGTCGGAAGTGACTCCTTCACATAGTTTTAAACTTCTGACTAAAATTATAATACCCTTATTCTTAGTTTTTAAATAAAATGTTAAATATACATTTTAATACATTTCTTTTTTATTTAGCTTTATTTTCCATTGATTTCCGTTGCCGCCGGTGGTAGCTCAAAGGGTTGAGACGACAAACACTGGAACCCGTAGCACTGCCGGTCCGGGTTCGAGTCCCGGTAGTAAGTAGCATGGTCACCCCCGGATCTTCCTTCCATTTTCCATTGAACTTCTCCCCTCACTATTGTAAAAAAGTTGCTATACTACAGTAATTGTACAATAATAAAATTCAGCTCACTAAATAAAGCATTTTTTTTTAAAAAAAAAAATTGATTTCCGTATCTTTTATTATTTAAAAACAAATTTTAAATAATTTCCCATACTTTATTGACCAAGAAAATCCATATTTTTCAGTTCAAAAAATAAAAATCTCATTACTACTCTTTAACTGTGCATTAAATAAATAAATAATAATAGTAACAGTTAGATATAATATCAGTATTGATATTTTCTCTACCGACAATAAGTCTTTATATTACTTTTCTTGTAAACGACTTTATTAAAATTGTTATTTAAATGAAATAATCATGAAAAATGTTAATAAAGGCTTTATAACAAGACTGTAATTTGTTAATAATTAATTTATGATTATTTATAATTCCATTTTCGATTATGTTATAAAAAAAATCTATCTTTAAGCTATACTCTAGTATTTTTTTTTCTTTTAAAATTATTAATTTAATTTTTATTATAATCTAAGAACTATTTCTGTTTTATTTTATCTTTAAATTATTCCTTGTGCTTGGCGCTTTGGTTCAGGCACCTTGTCATGGATTTATTTCCGTGCTGATCATGTCACGATCATGTCTCTTGAGCTTATGCTAAGCTTAAGACTTTAAGACTTCTTCAGACTAAGTGACATATTTGGCCATATTTATTTGCATAACAGGTGTCGATCCAGAGGGGGATTAAAGCTATCATTCCATCCACTGATTGCTGTGGATTCTTGGAATATTAAAGACATAAAGATTCTACTCCTGATACCCTGTAAATATCTGGCACAATGTTCGCATATTGAATGATTGGTTCATTTGGCTTCCGATTCCGATTCTATATAGTTTTAAATTCTCTGATTCCCCCACCGATTCTCCGTGACACAATTTTGAAATAATGGAAAAAGGGGAAAAGACGACGGAAGTGTGTGGAACCACACGCGACTCTCCGACTATATTTGTTTGTTATAAACTTTATTAATATGGAGAACAGCAAACACTTGCCGCAAATGGAGTGCCAACTTCCGATCATATGTGCGTCTCTATATATAATTTACAAAAAACTTGCCAGCGAGAAGAAGAACCCCCTTTTGTTCAGACCATAAATATATAAGTAAATGTTGAAAACACTGGCCGAGCATGACAATTGCCACCTGCTGGGGCCTGAAAGGAAATCCCATTAATGACAAAATCAATAAACTTGTACATATTTCCATCAAAAGACCAAAACAAACACAAAAACCAGCAGAGAGAATGCCGTTAAAATCAATACAAATATTAAATTAAATGCCATCCAATTCCCCAAAAGACACAAGAGTCAAGATCTAACTAATTAAATGGATTCTTTGAGAGCGTGCTCAGCGGGGAACCCAAGGAAGGCGAGAATGAAATTGATTTGCCAGATAAATCATCAAGAAAAAGAAGAAAATTTAAAGATTCTTTTTAGAAAAGAGAAACCAAAGCTTGGAGATCAGTGATTTTATTTAAATTAAGACAAGTGAAGAATGAAGGATTTGCAAGAGGGATTTAGTTCATAAAATAAAAGGAGAAGATACCCGAAACGATTAAGAATTTAGCTTACAAATTCTAGACAACTCTTTTAAAAGTTCTAAAATACATCAACCACATATGATTCAAGATTTTTTAATTACATAAATCTCACCTATAATATAAAATAAATACATATTCTCTTACATTCTGTTACTTTTCAATTAACTCGATTTAAAAATCAATTTAATGAGACTACACAATGTTTGCATTCAAACGGATTATGCAATCTACACAATCTACAACAGCCGAGTGTTTTCTTCCGGCAATCCAGAGCCAATCCGTCAATCACTCAATCAGTGAGAGAGAGAGAGGAAGAGATTGAAGGAAGGCAAACCGAACAGTTTGCCGTTGCATTAATCACTCAGAGCTATGCAGGCAAATCAGAATCAGCAGAATCTATCCATAGATCGATCGTTGGATCACACTCATCATAATTATCGATGATAGCTCCGGCCTCAACTTGACTCTGACGTGTCATGTAGAATTCACCTCTCGTTCCCTGCTCTCCTTCCTTTCAATCCAATGGCTATGTGAAATAATGCCTAATTGAAATAATGCCAATTCGTAATTGAATCAATTAAATCGACAGAAAAATCAACGCCAGGGCGGAATGAATAATGCCAGAGTTGGCAAAGTTCTTATGAGTGGATAGAGAAAAAATAAACTAAAAGGGTTTTAGAGGTGAGTTTTAAGGTTTCCTGATATATCTTAAATAGAAGAAATATAATAAAATATATATGAAAAAGATAATATGATATATGGGCAATTCTCTGGTGTCGAATGCGACTATCGTACGCATTCAAACTAAAAAAACACATGTGCCAAGACTTTATTTTAGTTTTATAAAAATTGAAACGTATAGCTCTTGGCACTTGGTATAGCACTATAATTGGTGCAAAGGTCGATTTTGAACCCTTGTTTGTTTTCAAGATATTCACTAAAATGTACTGCGTTCGCACGCGACAAAAATAGAAGTTACATTTGAAAAAAACCAGTTTAAGCTCTGATTTCAGCGAAACGTGATGAAAAATTGTAGTACAATAAATTTTAATGAATTACGCAATGAATTATCTTACTAACGTATTTTGTTTGATTTTAAAATATTAAGGAGTTATTTTTTAAATTCACTTTTTGGTCCCGGTCGCACGCGACATGTCGCACGCGACAGTTTGGAAAGCGCTAATTTAAACTGAAACTGTACGAATATTGGTGATCGGATATGTCCTTTTGCACTTAATATTGAATCTTTGGGTTTTTTATGTCATATTAGAAACCAAAAGTTAAAGCAAAATGGTTCGGTTTAAGAGATGGGCATCAAAACAAAACATGCCATTTTTTATGCCTTTTTTTGATAAAAACAACATTATTTGCGTTTGCGCGTGTTTGACATCGATTTTTTTGAAACTTATTTTAGAAAATGAAAAATTCTCTTAGTCTTGATCATCCTGACCAATTTTTAATGTAATCATGTTAAAAATACTCGTTTTTAAGCAATTTTAAGTTTTTGGCCGCGGTGCACGTTTCTGGAGAAATGTTAAATTATAAATGTATTATATTTGTGTTTCCTTAGAATGGAATTTAGAATGCACTTCGAATTTATTCAGAATTAATGTAACTATCTTTGCACGGTATTATCATTTCAGTCTAAAGCTTAAAACTATGTGAAGGAGTCAGTTCCGACCCTATAAATCATATATATTCTTGATCAGCATCAACAGGTAAATCTTATAAGGTATCTCCGGCAGAAAAAACAAATTAACATTAAAGGGTTTACATCGGTAAAATATTCATACATATACATACATATACATTTTAAATATGCAGATTTTTTACCCAACAAAAAACTAACATGAGAATGATTTTCAACTTAAAATTAATGATTAAATTGAATTTTTGTCTAAATTTTGAGTTTTTGAAAATGTTAATTTCTCGACATAATTTTTATAGTTTCCCTCTATGTTTTTATCATTTAATTCTGCTAAATATCCTACCTATCAAAGTTTCTCATAATATTTAATATACATTACAATAGAATCACAGTCACGACCCAAAAGTCCAGAAAGAATGACTCACTAGAAAAACCAACCCAACCCAGCCCAGTTAGCTTTGAGCTACCCGTTTGACTTCACATTTTGAACCGTATTCGATTCTCTTTTAAACTTTACAAATTGGAAACAAATAAAAACCAAAATTCAATAATGAACTTGTGGCTACTTTCGATACAAATTCTCCTCCTGTTGGTGCCGGGCATTAAACAGGAGAGTTCTTTAAAGTCAAGAAATAATGTGCCGGCGCGTTGCGATTTCATGTTGCGAAATCCCCAAATCTATCGGAAGATGTGTCAGGGCAATTATCCATTGGTGGCCTTTACCAAATATCGGGACACATTGGTGAAGGTCGGTGAACCGTATACGATGTATGTATCTGCTACATTGGATACTGTTCTGGTTGTGCAGAAGAAATCACAGCTCCACGAATGCTTCAATTTGGAGTTTAAGGATAGCATTACATTCTATTGCCTGGATTCGTATGAAAACAATACGCTGTCCCTCAAACAGGCCAATATGTTTTGCTTCCCATTTCACATTCAATTGCCGGATGACCTGATGAACGAGTGCCTCATCGAGAATAAAATAAACGATCAATACCACAAACTGGATCAGATTGTTGGCACCAAACATGCCATCGTTCACTACACCTACAACGACGGCGGAGTGCAATCTTCTCTACGGATCCCCAAGTACCTTCATTCTCCAAATCCACTTCTCTGTTTGCTCCTCATCCTTCTGGCGGAGTGCAGTCGTAAATTTTAATGTCCTCTACCCATAAAGATTAATCAGATTGGATGAGCACCGGTGGGATATATATTCGTCAAGGAATTATGGAAGATCAACTACAACAAAAAATAACATGTTTTAATATTCACTAAACTGGTGGCCATCGGATAACCTGGCCTTACATATTTACTTTATGACGAACCAAAATTAATATGTCTTAACGCATTGTTTGTTTTCTTTCAATATCAGGGGAGGTGGTTTACTCTTCCGCTTTTCAGGTAATGTTTTCCTGAATATTTATTAACAACATTACAGATCACAGATTAGTTTTAATATGTTCCATGTCGATGCTGGGAATTTTGCTTTATTATATTTTGTTTTTGTTAATTACTTCAGGACTCGACTATTTAATATTATTTAAATTTATTATAAGACCAAAGGTAGTATGAATACAGAAATGTTGAAGATATACCGAAAATATTAAATTCACATTTATATAGATTCGATTTTTAGGAAAGCTGTGTTTGCTTATCTTATTATTAAATTTTGTTTTTATACCTTTGCAAGGTTTAGTAATTTTAGTCAGAAGCTTCTAACGATGGGAAGGAATCATTTCCGACCCTATAAATCATATATATTCCTGATCAGCATCAACAGGCCAATCTTTTTAGCTATATACGGCCGACAAAATTTTCAAATTTTTTTTTTCAAAAATTTGTAATGGATTTATATTTAAAGTCACAAAAAAAAATTGAACAAAAATTTTAATTTTTGAAATTTTAAATTGAGTATGCAGAGTTATTAAACTATCAAAAACTAACATAGGATAGCTTTCAGAATCAGAATTAAAGCTTTTTTGGCTAAGTTATGAGATTTTTAAACTTTGTTTTGTCAAAGAAATGGTCAAGTAAAAATATCCATAAATATCGATACAAAGTATGCGAATATTTTAAGCTTTGTTAAGATCAATTTCTGATTCGATCTTATAATTTAATTGAAACTGCAAGGGTATATAAATTTCGGCTTCCGAAAGTTATTTTCCTTTTATGTTTTCCTTTGAATTTTTATGAATTGGTGAATTGGTTTAAATTTCATTAATTTTTTCAGTGAAGTAAGTCGAAATAGATTACTATGGATATCGATAAATATTTATTAAACATTAATTAAGTTAAATGTTAAGTAAAATGGTTTTATATTAATTCGTTCGTTGCAAACACTTTATGATTGACTTTATTATATTATATGTATATATATTTATAATTTAATATAATAAAAATAAAATGTATATTAAAGTATAAATATATATATATATGTATATTATATTTTAGACTTCTTAAATATCCATAGCTCTTGTTATATATTTTCAGCAATTTGATCTTGAGTTCTATAGGACTTGTCCCAATCACTATTTCTTCACTTATGACTCATTCATCAATAATAAAGTAAAATAAGAGTTTGTATTACATTAAGAATATTTTCATCAGACACCTTTTGAGTTCTTGAAATAAACATTATTTGTTGCAATTTTTTGGTGACCTGCTTTGTTGACAATCTCTTTTGTTTTTTTTGGATTTTTCACTTGCATTTCGCCACATCACGTTGCAGATGGTGATTTGGAGCGGTCACCTGCGGCTACCTGGCGTGCGTACTCGGTACTCATTTCCATCCACATTGCAAAACCTAATTCTCGATTTGCGATTCGCGATATCCAACCATTCATTCGTACTCGGATTCAGACTCAAAACTCTCGAACTCGATTTCTAGCGGTTGTTGCCGACGGCAAGGAAAAGCCTTGGCTCGACCATCGACCAAATTGTCAACGCAAATCGCAGATTGCCTGGCATTAGGGTATCAGTATTAGAATCCGAATCAGAATCGGAATCGGAATTGAAATCGGAATCTAAGATATATCGATCGAGCACTCTAGTTTCGCATTTGCATTTTGGGCATTGGCCTGGGGTTAAGGAGAATCACAGATTGGAAATAAAATAAAACAACAACAAAATCTGAAAACAGAAATCTGAGGTTTCAGCAACAAATGCCGTTGGCCATACAGTGGTATAAAATATTAAATAAACAGGCTTATTTAGCCGGTAAAATAATATTGATTTTGGTTATAAAATTATGTGTATTATTAAGGGTTGTTATATATATTTTATGTTGTAGAATAAATATATCTAAATAGTTCTATTAACTACCTGTCTATAAATGAACTTGGTACTATAATTCTTAACGAGGTCTAGCAAGAATATAGAGTTATATTCCTAAACAAATTGTTTTAATAATTAATTTTGATGATATTCCTAAACAAATTGTTAGAGAAAACATTTATTATTGTAATTTTTAATAATTAATTTTTTCTGTAACAATTTGTTCAAGAGTATCATAAAAATTAATTAATAAAAATTACAATTATTAATTTTTTCTGTAACAATTTGTTTAAGAATCTCATCATCATATCATATCATCATCTTGCTAAGCTCAAAATTTTAAATCATTTTTTAGCTACATTTTTAAGAACTGTGCTAGCAAAGAAATCCACAAATAATTTCACCCACTTGCAAGTGGGTTTTTCTTCTACTTGCTGCTGCTGTTGCTACTGCTGGTTGTTGTTTGTTTTCAATTTTTCCTTTACGTACTCATAGGAATTTCCAATTGATTTTCCAGTTCAACCGTCGTTGTCACGTGTTTTGCGTACCCGCCCCCTTAGCATCCTCCCCGCGAGTACCCTTTTGGTCCACGGGGATACGGATCCCTTGCCTCATCAACTCATTACGCATCTGGCACACTTGAGTTCAATCAAATGCCAAAGACAGCAGCAGCAGCAGCAGCAGCAGCAGCAGCAGGTGAGGTCTTGTCTTGTGGGGATAATTGCGCAAAAGGCTTTGGCAAGATCTCTTTGGCCATTTGCATAAATTTCCCTTGCTAAAAAAAGTAAGAAGAGAAAAGTAAAGAAAAGAAAAGGAGGAGTAGGCTTTAAGGAATAGGGGAAAAGCGGAAGGAGAAGGGGACCACACAACCTGAGATTCTGCGCGAGAAGGAATGAAAAGACCTGACCAAGTCTTCAACACACCGAAAAGAATTTATATAGATTTAAGGGAAGATTTCAATGAAAATGATTGGATAACTGGATAATGGATTTTAAATATTACAAAAATACTTTGAGGTACTTTAAGTATATTTTATAAACAATAAATCAGGTTCTTTATGTTATATTAAGTATAGCTTAAAGTTCCTTAAGTTATGTATCCTCTAAAATATTTTGTATATCACTAATATTAAAAATATATTTTCTTTTCTATTCTTTACGAAAATTAGTTTGTTAATGAATTTGGAATATTTCTAAGATACTTTAAAGTAGTTTATTAAAATGTTTTAAATATTTGTTATGTTCTTCAAGTTTTTTACTCTTAAAATATTTTCATTCTATTTCTAATAAAAATTTAAGTTTAGTAAATGAATTTAAAATATTTCTAAGAAGCTTTAAAGTATTTTAAAAGATTTTTTTAATCTCTATTAAGTTCGTCAAGTAATTTTATCTCAAACATATTTTTAAAAATATTTTCATTTTAGTTTTAATGAATCTAAGTTTGTTAAATGAATATGGAATATTTTAAAAGGCTTTAAAATAGGTTATTAAAACCTTTTAAATATTTATTAAGTTGTTCAAGTTATAAACTTACATATGAACATTTTTCTGAACCACAAATATATTATTAAAATATTCTCATTCTATTCTTTATGAAAAGTTGCTTTAGAGTAGCTTATTTAATAATTTTTAATATTTATTAAGTTCTTTACTCTGTTGTTGTTAAGTTGTTTACTCTGTAATAAACATTTTTGTAAGTTAAAAATGTATTTTAAAAATGTACCTATTTTATTCTTAACAAAAATGAGTTTGGTAAAATTTTAAATATTTTTTAAGATGCTTTAAGGTATTTTATTTGTCTGCTTTAAATATTATTTGAATTATTCGAATTATTAAATCTCTAATGAACATTTTTGTAAGTCACAAATATATTTAAAAAAAATATTCACAATCCATTCTATATAAAAATAAGTTTGGTAAATGAATTTTAAACATGTGTAGAATGCCTTAAAGTATTTTAAATATATTGTATGCTCTTCAAATTATATGCTTTCCAATTAAGAATTATTCACAAATATATTCTCATGGACCTTGAAATGCTGGAATATCTAAAAGTCTGTTAAAATTCTTATTTAAAGTTGTAAATTATAATATTTTGTTCCGTGTGCCATTCGATGGCTTGACCAGTGGCTTAACCATGTCATAAACAATGATTAGGCGGCTGCTGGCGGTGGTTTTTTCTCTCTCTGGTGCCAGTTGTGGTGTGTATTAAAACGGTTTCCATGTTGCAAATGGTAGCGATCATCCTGCGTCGCGTCTCCTCTCTCTCTCTCTAACCTCGCCACATCGATTGGCAGTGAAATTGCATTATAAATTAATTAGTCAACTATTTTAGCAGCACACCTGTGCGAGAGAGAGGAAGGGAGAGGTGAACAGCATCTTACACCATCTATGGTCTTTTTTCAGAACAAATCAGGCAGGGAAGAGGCAGGTGGCTTGGAGGAGCCACCAAAGACGGACATCATCTTCGGGGGCTTTGGGAAAACAGTGACCGAACGATCGAGCTACTGGAGAATCTATAGAAGATTCTATAGAAGATTCTATAGGAAATTCTGTTGGAGAATCCATAGGAGAATCTGTTTGGAGATGCTAGAATGAGCTTAGTAAACGATTTGGAATGTGGCCGGAGCTCATTATTTGTCTTTAACCATTTGATTTCCCTAATGCCTTCAGTGTGCCGTAAGTGAAAAATTTCTATTTGAAGAATTCTTTAATAAGATTGAAAAGCGAGTTATGTACCTCAAGTTTATGTTTTTAAAAGCTTTAAAAATTAATAATTATAACAAGGTTTTGTAAATGTTTAAAATTATTATTAAAATATATTTGTGAATTCCCTTCCCCTAATATATTCTTCTCTTTCGCCTTTTTTACACCTCTCTTCTTTGATTTTTGAAGAATTCTTCATTGAATCTTCCCACACGTGCCGCATCTTCGCTTTGCCTGCGGCATTTACAGTGGCATTCATTTTTTTGTTTTTTAAAGCTGTCACTGGGCTACGCCTATCACACGTCCATTTAGTGACAGTCATTAGGCTATTTAATGGAATATTAGTTATTCACTTGGGGCGACACCTTGTCGTAGGGATCGATGGGCGTGGCAAATCGCGGCACGACTGACCCAAAGGGCATAGATATCTAAATTTAGTGAGAGAGAGGAAGGGACATTAATCAGTCGATTAGTAGGGCTTCTCGCCCAATAATTAAAACATTCTCCAGTCTTTGAAAGGAAAACAAATCATGTCAAAAGGGAGAGAGATGCCCCAAGAGATCAAAGATCATGGAGTTAAAACAATAAGCGGTCAATAAGACAAACAAAGCGAATGTGCAGTTAACTTAACGGTCAAGCGTGAAGAAAAACATAAATAAAAGTATTGTCAAAGAGAGACTCCTAAAAAAAGAGCTCTCATATTGAGATAAACAAATTGACAGTGAAGAGTGGCTAAAATGGCGGTTTGGGTAAGACATAAAGAGGATTATAAAAAATATTTTTAAATATAAATATATGAATAAATGGAGGTTTAGGTAAGACATAGAGGATTTAAAATATTTCTAAAAATATAAATATGAATAAAATCAATTCATTCAACATTAATTGTAATTTTTAGTAAATTTGTAAACTTTGAATACCTAAAAGATTAAATATGATATTTAAACCATTATTTTTTATTCAAATTCTGCTGCAATTTAATCTTAAAATTTGATCACTTAGTTCAATATAGTTCTTAGAAGGTTAGGTAAGTTTTTAAGATTTAAAAATATTTTTTTAAATATAAATGTATGAATAAAATCAATAATGCAACATTAAAAGTAAATTTTAGTATATTTTTAAACTTTGATTACCTAAAAGATTAAATATGATATTTAAATCATTATTTTTTATTCAAATTCTGCTGCAATTTAATCTTAAAATTTGATCACTTAGTTCAATATAGTTCTCCTTAGAAGGATAGGTAAGTTTTTAAGATTTAAAAATATATTTTTTTAAATATAAATGTATGAATAAAATCAATAATGCAACATTAAAAGTAAATTTTAGTATATTTTTAAACTTTGAATACCCAAAAGATTTAATATGATATTTTAAACAATATATTTTATTGAAATTCTGCTGCAATTTAAATTTAAACGTTTATAATTTTGTTCCAAATGGTTCACCCTAGTCAGGTTTCACTGTAGGCAGCAGGTTCACTCTTTGACCGCCAATCGATTTCGATTTCCATCGCCCTGACACATGAACTTTGACTATTAATGGAACACGAGCGAGAGTAAAAGAAAAGAATGGGACTTGAGTCTTGAAGTCTGAAAGACTGAAAGACTGAAGATTTGGAAAGAATTCGGAAGACTTGGAAGACCCGAGAATGGCCACGAAAGTACCGTTCCAGCGGCAGCAGATTGTTGTTTTTTTTTTTTGGCTACTTGGGTGCTACTTCTGGCCCATTGTCACCATCAGTCGGCGATTTGTGGCAACAATAGACAATTTGAAATCTTGATCGAACCTTTTGTTCGGTTCGTTTCGCTGTTCGTTGACATTTGTCACAATCCCAAAAAAAAAAAAATAATAATAAAAATAAACTTAACAATATACACCTGTAGGGCTGTCCAAATCGATTCGACACGATATTATCCCTCGTAATCGGCATTGCAGCTCCTCCCATTTGTTGTTTATTTCGATTTAAACAATTGCTATTTATTTTTAAACGCTTTTTTGTTAGCGGCTTTTCGGGATTATATCATACCACAAAAAAGGGCCTCTCTCTAAGTTTAGTTCATTGTGTGATATTTTTGTGATAGAAAATTGCGGTTAAATCTTTTTTCAATATTTGTATTGTTTTTCATATTTTTGCAATCTATTTTGGCCGCCTTTGTGTATTATGCAAAGTGCGTGAAGGTGACTGGACTCTGGCTATAAGTCTGATAATGGTGATATTTATGTATATCCAAAACACATTATATGTATGTATATATTTTCCATAGTTTTTTATTTTTGGGGAGTGGCAAGCCGTGTGCCAGCTGTTAGTTATGATTATCAAAAATAAACCAATTGAAATATGGACTTGAGACTAACACATTTTTGGATATTTTTCTTACTACACCTCCTCATGGTAATGTCCTGCGGAGCTAATGGCGATCAAGCCACAAATTTACCAGAAAACTGCAAATTCATGTTGGCTGAATCAAAAATCTTTCAAAGATGGTGTATTGGCATCTATCCCTGGACGGCACATATCAAATATCAAGATAAATTGATCGATGTCGATGAGCCGTATGGTTTGTATTTAACTCGATCTCAGGATAGTATATTGGTGTTGCACAAGGAATCGGATCTCCTAAAATGCCGCAATATAGTCTTTGTAAATTGCAAATCGTTCATTTGTATGGATCGTGATGATAATGTAACAATTACAGTAACTCATGCAACCATACATTGTATACCATTTCATACTAAATTATCCGATGATCTAATGAACGAATGCCTTAACCAGAATGATTTTAGTCATGAGGATGAGTATCTGGTGGAGGTCTTGAGAAACCGTCGTGCCATCCTTCATTATACCTTTGCTCAGGAGTGTGCCCAATCCTTGCAAATCCCCATTATCCTTCTACTCCTTGCTCTCCTGATTCAATTGTAGTGAAAATTTACTGAAATTATCACTTGTATATATATAAATTTTCAAAATTTGTAATGTAAAATTTATAATATTCACTAGTTTTCAAATAAATAATATTAATAAAAATAGAAATTCTAATTATATGGAATTCTTATATCCCACTGTGATATTTCTTTCCGAATATTAACAAATTTTCCAAATTTTCAATGAAAAATTTATAATATTCACTAGTTTTCAATATGTTTCAAAATATAAATTAAAAATTAAATGGAATTATAATTTCCTTCTGTGAAATTTCTTTCCATAAATATTAACATATGATTCATGTTTTGCTTGGACACTTGGCTTAACGGAAATTTCATTTGAAAAATGATTTATTTAATTTGTTTCGCCCGGAATATGATATATCCATATATCTATATTTTTTCTTATCTATATTTGGGCGTGGCTCTCATCTTGTTAGCAGCGCCACCTGCAGCATTAATTAAGCAACAAATGGCAGCAAACATGGCTGAAAATGGCAAAAACAACAACAACAACAACAACAACAACAACAACAAATGGAAAACAAGAAAAACTAAATAGAAAATGGTAGCAAGGAGCGGCGGGAAACAGAAAACATTCATAGATGCCCAGGAGAGATTGCCGGTACAAGATTCTTATCACCGCCTGCCACCTGCCACCTGCAACATCAACCAGAATCTTGCCTCCAGGCCAGCAGTAGACACACATCCATACATCGAATGAGTGTGTGTAGAGTTCCCCGCCCCGGAGCTGATGATAAAGTTATAAAAAACGGAGCATTTCCGATTAAGTTGATTGTCGAAAATTTGCAAACAGATGAAATATTTCAGCAATGTGATTTAATGCCTGTGGTGGCATCCACACGGTAATTGCAAACGCCAGCGGGGCGTGTTGCACCGACATTGACAGCGTACACTTAGAGGAAACTATCTTCAATATATAATTATTAAATAGTAAGTAAATATTAAGAAGGGCTAATTTTTTCGACAAATTAAAACTTAAAAAACTCATAGCTAAGCCAAAAATGCTTTAATTTCAGTTTAGAAATCGTTCTTATGCTAGTTTTTATCAGATAAATAAATCTGCATACTCAATTTAAAGTTCCAAAAATTTTAAATTTTTGCTAATTTTTTTTTTATAATTTTAACGAAGTAAACCCTTAAAAAATGTTGAAAAAATTAAACAAAATTTTTTAGGATCGGAAATGATTCCTTCATAGCGTTACAAGCTTATAACTGAAATTAGAATACCCTGAAAACGATATAAAAAAGTTGTGTTTTGAAATTATCGTTCAAAAATCAATATTCGTGAATAAGTTATAATTACGTAGAGATCTTAACTTTAATTGATGTATTACTTTAAGTTAAAATAAAGTAATGGGGCTCATAACAATAAGGGAAATATGTTCATTGGAAAGTTAGCACCTCTGATCCTATCATTGAAATGAGCTTCTTCCTGGTTGTCCAGATGCATTGCATTGGCCACGTGGCCTTTTTGGGGTCGAATGGCAATTACTATATCACTTGAGGTGTTAACAGTGTGAAGGCCGCGCACAGAATGAGGTCCGAGCGCCAAGCAGTGCCTGTATTTATAGTCCACGAGTAAAGAGAACAGAGAAAGTGAGAGCGAGAGCGAGAGAGACAAAGCTTTCTCTAGAGATAGGCAGAGGGAGAAAGAGGTATCTCAAGAGATACGAAGGGAGATGGACATATCGAAAGAGAGAGAGAGAGAGAGAGAGAGAGAGTGAGTGTGGGGAAGAGTGAGTGTGGGAGAGAGTGAGTTTTTAGGGAGACAGTGCAAGATTTCTCGAGAGATACAGAGGGAGATGGACATATCGAAAGAGAGAGTGAGTGTGAAGGAGAGTGAGTGAGGGGGAGATAGAGACAGAGATAAAGAAAGCTGTTCACTCATTCCCTCAATCATTGCAATATTATGTTATTACAAGAGCGGAAGTTACTGTGGCACAATAACAAATTAATGAATAACTTTAATTTAAGATTCACCCCTCAAGTTTTTTTTAAATACAAAATACATATTTATTTTTTCCAGTGTCTGCACACAGTTCGCGGTCCAGATTGGTTGTCGCTGCTGTTGTTATTGGCGTTGCTGCAGTTGCTGGCCACCTGTTTTGTCATCCATTAGCCATCTTCCTCTGCATCTATTTCCATCCTGCTCGATGCTGGATGCTGGATGCTCTCTGTGTCTTTGGGGCGCTTTTGGCTTGGGGTTTTTCTTTTCTTTTTTTCTTTTTTGCAGGCTGGTTGCATGCAACGCCTGCTTAATGGCATTTGGAAATTTGTCAATCGTTGTTGGGCAGTGGCAAGTGCCTGGTCTCCTCCCCTCCACGTCGTCTTTTATTCCGCCAACGGAAGTGGGAGAAATACGAGAAAAAATTGGCCAAAGCAAAGCGGTTCTTCTAGATCCTCTTCGATCTAACGAAGCAATTAATTTGGCCTGGCACGTTCCCCGGGAGTTTGGTTGATCGAGCAGCTCCGGTTTCGCCTGCTGCTTCCATCGCTTCTGTTTCTTTTTTGTAATATTTATTTTCTTACATTTTTTTCTTCTTTTTTTTTTCTTTGTAGTAAGCTCCTGCAATTTGAGTTGATGTTGCGCTAAGTGCTGCCATTGCCCCCAGGGGCGTAACACAATGGCAGGGGGGAGATGGCAGGGGATTTGGTTCCGTCATTTAAATGACGAATTGAGTCAAGTCCAACCGGCCAAGACACGCGCCACTCTATTCTAGTCTTGAACCTGAACCACAGATTCACTCAGATCACAAACTATAACATATATATACAGCTTGAGAGGTTTTTAAAAATTTAGAAGAGATTTTTAAAGCAATTTCTTCTTATTTTAATATATTTTACTAGCAAAAAATCTTTAAAAAATATTATTTACGATCAAAGATGAAGTATTCTAATGTATATACAACATTCCAAGATATTTAAATATTTAAAATACCTTCACCCCATAATAAATCCTATTAAAGTGCTATTTTTTTGCTTACAACTGTCTGATGTCTTACATATTGACAGTTGGCAACATGCCACATGCAATAGGCAACATGTTGCCAGCCACTTTGTTGCCAGCGATAACAGACACGCAACAGAGGAAAAAGCTAAGGAAAAAAAATCAAAAGACACACCTATCTGCGAGATGTTAACAGTTTAACTCCGACAATCGATGTCTGCGTGGGGATCTGATCTCGGAAATTGACTGACAGACAAAATAAGGCGAGAATTGGGAGAAAAAAATAGGAAGAAAGAGATTAACATTCATGCAATAACAGTGTCTGCAAGTGATCCTATTACGCAGGACTAACATTAGGGAGGGCAGACATTCGATAGGTTAATATTGTATATCGATAAAAATGTCCTTCTTTGCTCTTTGATACCTAAATTGCTTTTTACAGAAATACAACTAATAAACAATTAAAGAAATATTAATTAAATACATTTAAGTTATACTTCTGAACTTTATAAACCCCTAACTATGTGCAGTTCCCTTTCAAAAATCTCCATCAGGTATAACTCATTTTAATTGGACATTTTCCATAAAATATAATTGCGGATATTCAAGCAAAAATATATTTTTTTAACAGTACTATGAGTATAGAGCTTGAGAGAGAACCCTAACTAATGAACTAGGAAGTAGTACACTGCGCTTTATTGCGCCATATTTGCACAAACATTACCCCATCACCGTCACCTTCCCCGTCCCCGTCCCCGTCCCTTCCGTTCCAGACTTTTTGCCTTGTTGTGTTAACTTGGCCATAAAGCGAAGACAACCAGACGACGACGATGTCGCTGTTTGGCCAGTTTGCTTGCCTTCTTGAGCGGTGTTAATTGTCATAAAACGAAACGATGCGTAGAGGAATACATATATATATATATATATATATAAATCTTTATACAAACAAATATATGTATATATATTTATATATAAACTTTTTTTTATAGAAGAATATACAGTACAGGGCACAAAAAGACACAGCTTAAGACAAGCAAGGAAGAAATTAGAATAAAAATTGCTTCATAAGTTTATGTTTAATTTTATCTGGTAAAAAGTGTTAAAAAAAAACCCTCTAATTAGTAAAGAAAAAAACTCCAACTTTGTACTAAATTAGGCGTTTAAATTAATTGAATTAAATCTGTGAAATATATCCATCAAAATATTACTGTTTGCTATTATTTTGCTCTCAACTGTGCTTGAATACAAGAGGAATTTATATAGAGTCAAGTGTAGGGGGAGAAGGAGAAACAGGGGGAGGTTGAAACCCCACCTTGATGAGGTAAGGTGTCTTATAGAACACTGCTGCTTTTTTTTTGTTTTTTGGCCACAACATACGCCGCATTCTTTTGGGCCACTAACTACATAGCAAGCCCCCTTTTTTCGAAGCTCGAAAAAGCCATCCAATCGATCGCACTTTATGGCATCATTATGCTAATGGGCAATTGTGCATTGTCTCGCTCTCTCTCTCCCCTCTCCCTCTCACTCTTTTTAAAAAATTATATAGGTATATATATATATATATATATAATCTCTCCCAATTGTCTGATTCCCCCCGATTATTGTACAACGTTTACAGTTTGTTTTCGCCAAACGTCGTTCATTCATTTCCATATGGACACGCTCATTCGATTAGCATACACAAGGAAGGAGGAGTCATATATCTGCATATAAATCTATCTATATCTTCAAAACACATTCCCATATCTATATCTAACTATATACTTGTATATATATAGATATATATTGACTATTGACTATTGACTGGTGTTTTGATTTGTTTAGCATTACGTGTGCGTTGTTATTCGCTCATTTGACCCAATTTGTTATGCAAATATTATGATTTTTATTCTCGACTTGACGCGACGCATTTTTCTCTCTCTCTCTCTGTCTCTCTCTCTCTCTCTCTCTCTCTCTTTCTCTCTCTTTTCCTTTCCCTGGGGCCTTAAGTCAGACGTCATCCGAAAGAGC